GATAATTAATTGAAAACATGAGAAATTTAGTTCTCATTTTTCTAAGGGTTTTGTTGCTGGGTACAGGATGCACATGCAATACTTAAAAACCAAACAAAATTCCCAAAGCACACCATAGCTTGGTTTGCCATAAAATAACCTGCTCATGTCCAGAGTCCCTACTGACCACCTATTAAAAAAAATAAATAGAAAAATCCACCACCAAAAAAAACCCAAACAAAAGACCCCCTCACAAAACCAAACCCACAGAAAATCTTCCACCCAACCACCCATCCACCGTTCCCTCAATGTCATCACTCTAATAAATATGGAAAACTAAGATTTCTTTTTTTCCCCTGAAGTAGTCCGTCAGCAAACAATAGAAACGAACTGAATTTTACATTCAAAGGGCTTTTTCAGGATTGTAGCCCTAACTCCCCACCAAAAGCACACTACGATACTTCAACGCCACCAAGCAGAATGAGCACCAGATGGAAGACTGGCTTCCCGTAAGTGCCATTCCCAATGTAACCCAACTATTAAATTAAATAATACCAAAGCTGTAATTTTTCTTTTTTCCTCAGCTTCTCTTTTATGCATGTCAGTGGTCCCACACAACAAAGCTAGCTCCCCCTTTGTGCTCTACCTAGCTCTGTGTTCAGCTTCTGGCTGGACAAGAGGCATCGGGGCTGCCCGATGCACAGCAACTCCCCTGTGGATGGGACAGTTCCCTTCATAGGAATTTTTCACGTCCCAACAGACCAGACCCACGACCAGTCATTTGGTGCCTCTGTTGCAGATCAAGCCAACCAGATCACCTGGTCCTCAGCTTGCAGAGCTCAAATGGCTCTGGGGCAACACGTCGCGCAGGAACGTTCTAGGAACTTCTCTTCGAAATCTCTTTCATTCTGATGTATTTGCTAGAAATTGGTTAAGATTCAAAAGTACTTAAGAGAAGATGGTTACATACATGTATGAAAAAAGGAGGCTAAAATTGAAAAAAACATATTCAATAAATAGGAAAATGACTAGGATAGCAAGTGATATGCCAGAAATAATGACATGCACTCAGAAGCTTGAACATTTTTTCCAACTACATTTACCAAACCAATAAAAAGATACATTATATTCCTAGAGATCTTGCTTTATTCTCCTTTCAGATTATCATGGTGCCACTGCAGCTAACACTATTGAACACAGCATTCCTAGTGTCGTCTGTAGGAAATGGCAAATAGGAAGGGGGCAGCAGGACACATAGTAAAGTGTGAAAAGGGCTGTGAGGTAAACCTTAATAGTGTGTTGCTGCTATAGTAATCAATAATAAAATCTCTCCTCCCCCCTCCCCCCCAAGTCATTGTCTGTTGATTTTGGAATTAATTGTACTTTTCTGATGAATGGGGCAAATTCAGCTTTCATGTATCACCTCTGAAGGTAATACTGCCCTAACTGTCAGGTTACACAAGGACTGCTATCTTTTCAACCAGAAGGACCACTTTTTTTCCCCTTAAGGTAAGCCTGAAGGCCAAGTAATTTTCAACACCACTGGTGTTCTTGCCAGAGTTTATGGCAATGGGATAACGGAGCAGTCAAGGGTTCTCATAGTAATTTGCAAGTCTTAACTGCAGCAATGTTAAAAATGTGCAAAAGCAGTAATTGATTTTGAAAAAACACTGAGAGTTGATTTTATGCTTGTTAAACAGCACTCTAGTAATTATCTTGATCATCAACATCTTAAAATAGTAAAAATTAATTTTGTGCTTAAATTGCTTACATAAAATATAGATGATTTATGTCAATGGTCCAAAATTGTGAAAAACATGGAATATATGACCTTCAGACTCCCATGTTCCCCCTTTGCCTGAAGACTCTTACTGACTGACTCATCTGTTGGCAATGGTTTATTCTTAGCAATTACAGACTTAACATGAATGTTTAAATACCATCAAAAATATTATGATATTTCAAAGTACATTAATGCAACGTTGGTACAATCTGTGAAATCCAGAACAGTCACAAGCAAATACGAGATTAAAAGTTACTTCTACTTTCCGCACCAGCGTCAAATAGGAAGCTCAAACTGGGCTATGAGTTCCATTTTACAGAGCCCTGGGGGAAGGGCCTGTGCTCAAGGCCAGTCACTAGCAGGCTGGATCCTAAACCCCATAACCATCCTCTAAAATCCTGGATCCTTTTAAAAATGTCCACAAAACCAAAAAAGGCACAACAAGACAACTGTGTCTTTTCATTACTTCGGGTTACTTATCTTTCTTTCGTGAAGAGACGAGATACTCAGACTCGGAAAACGAGACAGACATTCTGTGAAAACATCCTTTTGCACTCTTTCATCATCCCTCTTCCTCATTTTATTCTCCCCATACTTGTGCAAAACCACTGCACCAGCACTTCGTTTTATTCTCTTCACTAAAGTATTTTCTGACTTGCCTCTCATATTCTTGTCACTCACAGAATTCTGGCTTAAGGGTTTGGTTGTTTTTTTTTTAAACTTCAACTCAGGGATCAGATTGGCTTTTAAAGAAGCTACTGCCCTGCTTGTTCTACTTGGTCTACTCAATTGATATATTCTACTGTATAAGCTGACACGTTTCAATCAGTAATATTTTGTTTTCAAACAAAGTAGATCAGTCTCAGGACTCTACATTAAATTCACAGCTGAGCTGAACTGAAAACAGCTGAAACTGTTTGAGACCCAGTGGATTGCCCCACTGGGTCTTTTCTTTCTTGCTCCTCACTGTTACTCTGTGCTAAGGATTGCAACCTCTACAGCAAAGGAAGTAAACCAGAAACTCTACCTTAGGTGTTTCAGTTGATAATTCCAGGGTAGAGTTTCGTGTTATGTTTTGCAACAGAAGGGGATAAGACAGCTCTACCCCCTCCTTCCCATTCACGCACTCCTGCCATCTACCTTGCATTGGATCTAGCAACTGGGCAATCTCAAGTTGAGCTGGTTCAGACTTCTGATCCACCTCAGTCTGCAAATGGAAAATACCCACTCAATTCAATGCAGCAGAGGGTGCCAAACAATGCAATCAGGATTGCAAGGTCAACCTTTTAGCAAAAACCTGCAGTTATATTGATTTAAGGACCATGTGAAACTATTCTTAATGCAACACCATCCCCCACCCCCCCATCATGTTTATTTCATCATCCTTTTGAAGATCTTCACTCTCCTCCACGGTAAGCTGTTTCTGTTGCTGCCATTTGTTTTCTTAAGTGACTTAATCACATTGTACATAAAAGCAAGGGAATCATGATAATTTTGCATTACAAAAGATTAATTTCTTTCTGTTTTTAGAATACTTCTTTGGTGTTTTTCCCATTCGTAGTTGGTGTATTGAAAACTAGAAGTTTGGTATACTCAAAATCCTTGTGATAAGTGACATTTTTATTTTGCGAAGTTGTGAAGATCAAACCCAGTAAATTATTTAGATTGAATTCTCATATTATATATTTAAATACTTGATTCAGTGATAGAATTACATATTTCATGGCACAGCAGGAAAAAGTTATTTATTTCTTGATCAATTTCTTCTATTAAGAATTAAAATGCGGAAGTTCCCTCCACTACTTGATTACGAGTTTACTACCTCCTTGTAAACTTACTCGTTTCGTCCCTGACCTCTTTAAAAATAAAACCAAAATGTACTTCTTTAGCACTTCTTTTTTTCCCTATGTATCACAACAGCCAATACTGAATCCGTGCCAAAGTATAAGGAAATAGGACCACCTAAACTCGTACATAATCCCTTTCCCGCCACAGTGATCTACCTCTACCTTCCCTTGCTCTCTTTTGCCATTCATTGCGCTGCATCTTTCCTACTCCTATGCAATGTCATCCTCTCTAATCACAATGTCCAACTCCACCTGTCTCTGTAGGTGAAATCTTGGACTCTGGATGAAAAAAGGAAGCCTGGTGAGAGAAGCGCTTCCCATTATTACAAATACTGAAAGGAAAAATTGAGAGTAACGCTCTACTCTTTCATTGTACTCTTGGACAATGTGATTCTGATAGCCTCACAAATACAACTTCCAGGAAAACAATCTGCCAGGAAAAGGCAGCCCCAAGACTCTTGAAAACAAAACTTTTAATGTTTTCAGTAGTTTTAGGAGAGATTAATATGCAGAAATATGTTTGTAAATTACACTTAATTACAAATTAAAAAATTCTCAGCCCTGCAGGTGTACTTCCCAGCACCTGAAACTCTGTTAAAGAACGCTTCCTTTTTCCAAGAAACACACACCTAAATTTAGAGGTCAGGAAGGAAAGAACCTGGGGATAGAGTAGGAAATGGTAGGAGGAAAAAAAACGGGCAAACATGTTGAATGGAGGGAGATAAAATGACAGATTACAATCGGAGACCGAAAAAGAATGCAAGCAGTAAAAAACTTTAAAGGAGTACAAAAGAAATGAAGTACTGTATTAACACAAACCATTTCTAACTGATTAACCAGAAATTGTTGCCTTAGAAGCTGACTCTCAAACCAGGAAACAAAAGAATGATTAACTGCTAGAAAAGTAGAAACAATATAAGAAATTGATATGAGAACATTATTTTGCATAAAAGCTTTCTATTTTTAGTAATTTTTTTAAGAACTTCCAGTTTACAATAGTGCAGCGGGGGCAGGGGGGAAGGGAACATCAAGAATCCGAGATGCTAATTCTTCTCTTCTCTTTCCTCCAACTTTCTGTACGTCCTCAGCCTCCCCCCAAAAATGTACTATTTTAACAGAGAGTTTTAAGAGTCCTACACCAAATTTTTGATCTTCTGGAGTATCAGTGCTCACCTCTAATTTTGCTGAGCTTTTCTGACTATTTCTAGCACCTAACACACCTCAAGTCCTACCCTTACTCTGTCTTTAGACTAAGATACTTCATACTGAAGCACTTCAATTTCTAAAGCAGGTAGTATTTCACTGCCATACACTTATGCATTCCTCGCAGTTTTAAGATGCAACGCAACTTGTAACAGATGTTAATTCAGTTTGAAAGGACTTAAACCTACCTTTAAACTAGACTCATAGTCTGTGTTCACTTTGAACATAAGCCCAAGTCGCAAATGAATTTCCTTGGCTCGACAAAAGCTGGGATCAACATAAAGCGCCTCCTGAAATGCTTTAATTGCCCTGAAAGAAAAACACAGATTAAAAAGATTATTTTTTTAGTGAAGTATTACTTTATAATCAATGTTATTTATATGACTAGCAGAAAGTGGATCAGAAAGCACTGTTAAAGAAAAACATATCAAAATAATGGTTTACATGCAATGTTTTTTGGTGCATGGCTTTTGATTCTTCAAGGACTGGGTTATTTTGTACTCCAGATATCCTGGTATATTTGAAAGTCTAATCTTTTCTATTAATTTAGAGAAACTAATTTGCTGCATGAAATACAGTAACATATCTGCTGTTTCAGAAAGGATGACTCAGGAATTAGTAACAAAATTAGTGCAACTTTAGAACAATACAGTGATCATTCATATCACAACCAACTGCTAGGTTGCTTTTGATTCCAGGTAGTGCAGACCCCTGAGAGCAGCAGCAGAACAGAAGGCCTAGAAGGAGAGATCACCCACATCTCCTCCCACTGCACCAACCTGCTCCGTTTTCCACTTTGTCCTCCCTTTCTTAGCACCAGTGCTGTGCAGGGACTCAACTAGTACCTATTGCTCCACTACTTTCCAGTCACTCAATTACCTCCAGGAAAACACAGATATGAAAAGCCTGCCACCTCCTCCCACTGTAATTTGCTTTTCATATTCCCATGATAGCTGAAGACGGCTCTGATTCTATTTCCTTACCTTTAAAGCCTCTCTACCCATGCCCCTATTCATGATGGCACTGTAACAAAAATGCTACGTAACAACTGTATCTTGGAGCAGAAAAAAGGTGATTCTAAACAGGACTGTTTTGCCTCTCAGGCCAACTGCATAAAATTGGGACAGCTGAAATGCAACTAAAAGATAATAAATTTAAATTCACAGAGGAATTGAGAAAGAAGCTAAGACTCATTGTGTTAGCTTGCCTGAAATCCAATGACAGGTTGAAACAAAATACCTTCACGTACATCACTGCTCGTACAATGACAGAAGTTAGAATCAGTCTCACTGAGGGTAGATTCAAGCACCTAGGCCAGGGAGGCCAGTCCTATTTGCTGTCCTAGGCAACCCCAGAGATCGATGCTGAGCAGGCAGATGACAGGCAAGCCTATGGGGAGAACTGTACCCACTGTGGAGCAGCACAGGGACACTGGACAGGAATTACCACAGTCCCTAAAAATCACATAATGTTTAGGCAAATTGATTTCATTCCTAGTCTCCAAGTGTAGTATTGTTTATAAGGACAAAAGGTTAGCAGTTGCAATGGGAAATTCAATAAATATTTTTCATAGACTTTTTTATTCACAAAACACATAATGATCATTTTTTAATCCATTAGCAAAAACACTTCTTCTGCTCTAAAATTCTTACAGGCTTTTTTCTCATTCTTGACAGCAAAGCAAACCAAAGGCACAGAACTTCCTCTAGACAATGCAACAAAATTATTTGTACCTAAAGCATTATCTGACTTGTTCAAATACAACTTAAGAGCAGATGGGCTTAAAAAATTACATTTTTATTGTGGAACTGAAGCTTCCTTTATTACAATTGTTCAGAAGGGGTTTCCTTACCTAGTACCCTACTTTTCTACTTACACAAGGAAAAGGAGCAAGTGAAGTGCAAAAGGGACAAACTTGCACCAGCTAAGCAGTCTCTCACATCTCATCTAAACTTCCCTGGAATAGTATGGGTGGTGATGAATCACATACCTCAGTATCTACACTGAAATCACAACAGACAAGGATCCATGTCTCACAGCACTATGCTCACCACCATCTACAAGACCACCACTCAAACTAGAAGGCCAAAGACTGGACTGATCACTAAATATCAGCACATATTTTAAGCTATGCTTTTGTTATGCCAAAGTATAGTTTTTATGACTGTATATTTGCATTTCTTGTCTTAACTCTAATGTGGTACTCAGTATGTTAGCCACTGGTATTTAAAATTCACTATTTGCATCTTGTTCAAAGACAGTATCCCAAGTTCTAAAAAGGAAGAAAACCAGTGTCTATGGTCCCTATCAAAGAGAAGACAAAAACCAGGAATAAAGACATTGCGGTTCTATACCACATGTGAGATTGTGACCATGCTCGTATACAGTTTGTGAACTTCACATTCTTCACATTTTAGCTAGCTTGTTTGGTCAGAAAATAGTATTTCCATATTTCCCCTATGTCACGTCTCATTCACAAGGATCACTGATTTCTAAAAAAGCTTAAGAGAAATTGTAAGAGACAAAAATATTTTTATAGTCTCTTGCTTACTGAACAGGAAATATTATTCATTGCCACAGCTGAGCAACAGAGTTAAACAAAGCCACAAGTATAACAACCGACTTTTAAGGACAGTTTTGAAATTTAGTTTGAATGTATACTGTCATTCATTCCAAATAACAAGAATGCTGCCTACCCCAGTCTTTCAGAGAAGCACAGCACTAAAAAAACCAGTAAAATCATCATCAGTGGACAATGTAAAAAGACTGTGTCACGTTTAGCACAGAACCTGCTCATCACAGACAGCCTCTGAGGCATGTGTAATGTTTATCTCCATACAGACAACATGGCAACACCATTCACCCTTGTCTAAGCTGCTTGTGGAGTCAGGTTCAACATTAGTAGTTATCGCGAGTCTTTGAGATAACGTTATAACCCAACACAATTTTCCAATGAAGACAAACCCAAAATGTGCAAGGAAGAAGAAAATTAGTACGACAAGACATCATTCCCCTAGACACAATCTACGCAGGAAGTAACAGCATGCTTTTCAACCCACTTTGATGGATGCTTGGAAAAATATATCCAATCAACCAAGTCAAAACAAAAATCTCTGTACCCTTTAAGACACTGTTAGAGTCACCATGCTAACAGCTAAATAATAATATTCTAGCTGTACGTTTCAGTTGTATTTGATCACTCCTAAACTGACGGTTTTGGGAGGAAAAGCATCTCTGCCTTAAAAGCATCATTTCCTTGAAAGGTTAAAAAATTCAAAGGAGTATAGTCAGGGAGCACTGATTGCTCCCATCCATTGCATTGATTTGGCAATGGAATGGACACACTGGTAGAGAGTTTGGTGAAAGACTCTCCACTTTGAAATTTTCTTTCAGTTTCTAATGCATGATGGATTTACATTTAAGAATGAATCCATATGCACTCAAAATGCTAGGGAACTCCTGGGTGAGTGTCTTGCTTGCATTTTAAATTCTGTATCCTTGGATGCCATAATAAAAACTGAAAGAGAATTCTGAAAGGTAACATAAATTTAAACTTATAATGAAGCATAATTACATCAGTAAATTAAGGGGAAAATGTTGTAAGAATACACCAAATATTCCCCAAAGCAGCTTTTCTAACTAAAAATCGGATATTTTATCTTCTCCATTCAAAATATTGGCCTGCATCTTACTTAACTCTAGTGTTAATTCTATATTGATTATGCAATTTGTAGTTTTTCCAGGATGACAATCACCGATAATAACAAATACAAATTACTTCCACTACTTCTGTGAAAAAGGACATCAAAATTTCACAAATAAAGTGATCTGAAAGGCAGCATTTTCAACAATTTCTACCAGTGGTACGTGCTCATGTCTAACTCGGTAACTATAGCCTGCTTTTAAATAGTAGAATTTTCATAGAATAAAACACTCAAACTCTGAAAAGACATTTACTTATTAACTCTTACAGACAGACAAACAATTCTACACCATAGCTGAATTAATATTGATCTAATTTTGCCTGCAGGAAACCTTTAAACAAAATAGCAATGCACTCAAGATTACAGGACACATCAAGAACATGGACTACAGTAAAAACGTTAGTTTTATTTTGGGGCTGCCTGTTTCCCAGTGCCACGCCCAGAGCTCCAAACTCAGTCCCTTACTACATCAATAGCAAAACATCTGCAACATCACTGACATTCATTTCAGTTGTAAGTGCTCAGTAACATCCAACGCAGATGCCATCGGGGCTTGGTACAGGTTGGTACAACACAGAAAGAAGTGGTCACGAAAAGAAGTGGAAAGTAGGGGCAGATGTTGTAGTAGTAAAGGGAAATGAGAGAGAACGTGGCCCAATGTTGATAACTGCAGTCCTTCCTGGCCCATCTGTTTGCCTGAGTTGGGCCTTCCGGACACAGCAACAGTCACTCGATCCTTGTAGAGATCGTTGTTTGCTCTGAACCATCACTAATCCCATTTCTGTCCTCTGCCCCAGCCTACACCCAGAAAGGTGCGGGTCTAGAGGATCCAAGGCATCCAAGTTACTTAGACGTTTTCCCTCAAAGCTCTCTTATGGTATGATCAAAACCGGAAGAGCAGATATAAGCTAATAGCTTGATGATCTGTCACATATGAAGCAGGACTTGGCTTAAGAGGCTAACAGCTTCCTTCAGAGATGATGGCACACAGCCTTCCTCAAGTAGGTTGTTAGTCTCTACCACTAATTAACTGGCCTTCATGCACAGAGCTTTTCATTTTAATCCTTCAGCAGACTAAACATACGTTAGTCCAAAGGATAAATCATCGAATGAAGGGCTCGGATCTCTCATACTACAGAAATAAATGAGAGTAGTCCAAATTCAGCAAGAGACAACTTTTGGTTTATTCTCTGAAGATACTGACCAACTGCCTGGTAAGAAACAACTTTGGTTGAGTCTACTAGAATTTATTTAAAATAATTAAGAGTTTTCTCCAAGAATGGGAGTGTTTCCACTAACAGGCAGGAAAGGCTATCTAACACTCGACAAAATGGGAAAGCAGGACTGGAAAACAGACACTATGGAGGATGAAAAGCACCTCTGGGCTTACATTTTGCACAGCACTGCTACAGTAATTCAGGAAAAATAAAAATGACGTTAATCTATCATCTCCAAATCAAGATTTCCAAACTCAATACTGTAGCTATCTTTCCACCCACTCATCTATACAACAACGCCTACCATTATGAAAGTGAAGAAAGCAGCTGAATAATAATTAATACAAGATTGTATTAAACATTTACTGAACTCTCATAAGACTTCTATTGGAAGGTTTTACTTGGATAGACTGTGAATAAAATCAGCTTTGAACTAGGCGAAAGAATATAATAAAATAGCATCGATTTAACTATTCAGAAGTTAACACCTGTACGTTTCAAACAAAAAACATGAAAATCAGAATGAGCCTACAAAATAAAAGAACACAACATTACTCTAATGTATCAGGAAAAATACTTGATGCAGCTGGAGTGAAACTTTTTTTTCTTATTCTTTATCCTCTTTCAATTTTCTGACCACCTATTCTAAGTCTCATGTCATTTCATAGCCTCACTAATGAAAATGACATGAGGACATTTTGATGGACAAATTTCTATTTGAAACTCATAATCATAGTTTGAACACAAACAAAATGTCTGTACACAGCAGTAGTCAGGAAACTGCAATTTTACGAAATACTTTTGCAGTCTTTAGGTACAACTCCTCTGTCCATCGGGCTGTGACAGTTGAATGGTGAAACATTTTGAGCAGTGAAGTCTTTAAACATTTCTCTAGAACAGCAGCTGAGAGTACTGATTTTTTTCCAGCATTAGCAGATATTATGCGTTTTCATCAATCCAAGAAGTATGTTTGATACACAATCACAGAAAGATAAGATGACAAAAGAGAAACTTCATTTCCGCTTTGTTAATGGTTAACTACAATTAGTATGTGTAGTCTACATATACATTCCCATTTTATGTACCTAAAAAATACATATATAGACCCAGCCACCTGAAACCTGAGAAATACTTGACAAAGCAGTATCTACACAGTGTGTGTTTAAATTCTGCTCTCCTTATCAAGATAACTACAAACACCAGACCAGCTGAAAGGACTCTTGACAGAACAGGGAAAGAAGCACCAATACAGATGTGCACCTTGAAGATCACAAGCAAGCTGTTTTTCTACTCTCAAATTATATCCCTCCTGGACTTTCCATTGCAGGTGTTTCCAAAGCAGGAACTCCACAGACTGCCAATTACCAATGCAACGTCACTGTCAGTTGGGTGAACCTCAGAGCCTTTCATGCAAACCGCAACCGCTGGACTATTTCATCAAATGCTGTGCACCCTCCACAATGGCACAAAATACTGATACGCCTGGAGGCATGCAGAGCAGACATCACATTTGATGGAGTAGTCCAGTGGTTGCTGTCTGCATGACGGGTGGAGTGTTCCCATACAAGTGAAGGAGGTCCCCACTAGGCGGTTTGCATTCTTACACACCCCACTACCTACTCGACAACTATTTGTGTGGAAGAGCCCACTTCTTTGGATATACCAACCACTGACACAAACAGCTTGAGAACCATCTGAAGGATCTGGTCCTGCTGGAAAAAAAAAATAACCACCTCCTCAAAGACAAATCTTACTGTGTTACTAACAGCTTGCCCCTGAAAAAATATATATGTATTGATAGAGGAAGCAAAGAAGGGCAAAGAATGGACCTTGACAGCACAGGACTCTCCCACTCTCATAGGCAAACAGCAACCACCATAAAACAATAGTTTCTTGGGCAGATGAGTAAGACGTGCAATATTGAAGGCTGGCACACGAGACTACTGAAAAAAAGTTTACATTCCACTGTAGACCTGAGTACTTTAAAAGCAGTTTAAACAGCTGCTTTACTATTTCAGGATGACTGTGAGAAGAGCGAAACTTCATTTCCTAGAAAAAGATTAAAAAGAATGACAGCCAGAGAGAGCAAGAGACAGACCAGACTCCTTCAGCTCAAGTAAATGGTCCAATGTGATTGGCACTAAGGTCATCTCACAGGTGTTGGTAAGTTTTGTTCGTTTCCCACTTTACTGTTCCAAACCATCAGTCTGTAGTCACGTACTGCCTCCTTAACTGCAGTCATGATTAGTCCAGTAAGATGATAAAACTTTTTAGTAATCAATCAAGTAGTAAAGTCACACTTATTTTATTAAGTTTCCATATTGAGCGTGAAAAAGCACTGACCTAAACACTGCACCTTTCTCACTTTTTTCCAATGTGTCCTGGTTTCGGCTGGGACAAAGTTAATTTTCTTCCTAGTAGCTGGCATAGTGCTGTGTTTTGGATTTAGGATGAGAATAATGTGATAACACACCGATGTTTTAGCTGTTGCTAAGTAGTGCTTACACCAGTCAAGGACTTTCCAGCTTCCCATGCTCTGCCGACTAAAAGGCTGGAGGTGCACAAGAAGCTGGGAGGGGGCACAGCCAGGACAGCTGACCCAAACTGGCCCAAGGGATATTCCATACCCAGTTAGAAAACCAGAAAGTTTTTACATCAGTTTTAAACGTTCCAATCCAAGTCTGGGTGTCCTGCTTCTCACATCCCAAACTTTCACATTATACAGCTATGTAAAACTTACTGAATACCAAGCTAAATGAAAACAAGCCCACTTTGCCACTTCTTTTCCAAGAGAAGTTTTTTGTAAACAGGCTTTCAAACAAACACAGGCTACAGACTACCGATAACAACAATTCACAAAAAGCTGTCGAGTCATACTGCTCCATCCCCCTTGCTGAATCATATTATAGGGAGCTAAAATTCTTCTCCTGTAAGTGCTTTCCTTTTCAAGCAACTGCTGTGGTGGCCACAGGTATGTTACAGTAAGTCAGATATGTGACCCAGGACAGTATGTCTTCAAACATCTATAATAATAATTTAAAAAAAAAAAATCAAACTATCATACACTCACACTGAACTGAAGTTGAAATATTCACCTATCAATAAAACACCGCACAATACTGATACTGTTAGTTTACTCCAACTTACCATTGAAAGGCATTGTAATGGAAGTAGACCAAACCAAGGCCATATAAAAAGGCAGCATTCTGTAAAGGAAAGAAACAATGTTTAAAACCCAGATAAGACAAGCATATGCTGTAAGACTGAGTTTCCAGTATTTTATTCATCCTTTGACATTCTATTTCCATTATAAGATAAGCATATTTAAATTTCACCTTGAACAGGAAGAACCAAAAATAAGGAAAAGATAGGTAGACATTTAAAGAAAGAAAAAAAAAAAGTGATTTCCGTGAAATATTTTTGGAGGAATAGTAACAACAATAATATTCAAGTACTTTTACATCAGAGAAACTGATGTGCTTTGTTCTACTTGTACAACAGCAGGGAAGGAAATGACGGAGTAGAGGTCTTTGGCAATTTAATATAATAAAAAAATGTTTTATGACCGAACACCATTTCATAGTCATAATAATTTATACTCACATAAAAGTAAACAAAGCTACACACTCTAATTTCAGTGTCTAAAGTAGAACATTAATTATATGAATCTGAAAATATGCATAAGAAAATTTCACTTTTCTGAATACCAAAAATACAGACCATTGGCTTCAAACCTAAAACAATCATATTTCTTCATCGTTAATCAAATTTCTATTTTCTATTTCCCTACTTTGCAGAAGGGAAGAAAAAAGAAAAAAGAACCATTCTTCTGGAAATCCATTTCCCCCCATTTTCTTTTCACAGAAAAGTATGATTTGCTTCTAAAGTGACACTGCTAAGGAGGTTTAATGAATGTTTAACTATCCAATTCTACAAATAATTATTATATATCTCCTAAATTAGGAAAAATAAACAAATTGCTTTTTCTTTTTAAAAGTGATGCCACAGCATAGTTGTTTTCCATTTAGCAGGGCTATTCTATTATTTACAGGAGAGAACAGGTACATGCTGCTTATAATCCATTTTTAGGCTTTTCTTACGTATAATTCTGGTTTTGAGAGACCAGGAATACATCCCAAAGAACACAAAGCTCTGACACATGGACAAGAGGTGGAATTTCCATTGTCGAAGATTGTAGTTCAAGATAATCCCTCTTCCACTTGCATGCACTTCTTCAACAAGTCAAATTTCTATGGAATTCCATGAAAGGAATCCTAGTTATGCCTTAAACCCAATCCAAATATAAAAGGTATAACCAAATTTCTCCTAGAAAATAACTGGTAACCAGAACACAATTCAAAGAGCAGCATTCATCAGAAACAGGGCCCAGTATTACCATTTCATTATACCTCATTTGCATTTTCTAAATGCAAATCAAAACCAGGGGAAATGCCAAAGATCCTTTCATGAATACAGTTGGATCATAGCTTCAGCAATGGACAGCTTCCAAGAAAATACTGTGGTATGACCACATACTACAGCAATCAGAACACTGGAAGATGTTAACAGGGGGCATGGAGGGGGAAGTACATAAACAATAAAAGATGACACTTTAATACTACCATAAAACCACGTTCCTGTTTAACTGAACAAAACCACAACATGGACATCATAAAGATAAAAGATCTCCAATTCCGTACCCCATGTATCTCCTGCTTTCGAAGCGTGCTCTGGCAACAACAGACTAGGAAAGAAGGCAAGCTCAAAAACGGAGCATACATAATGCCTTGATTTAAAAGTCATTTTAAATTAAGAAGACAGATTTTCACGTGTGCAACATGGAAGCCTGCAAAATACAGCACACGCCTAGTGACCTTTATCGTGTTCAGGTCAGGCTCATTTGTAGAACAGAACTTAACAAAACTGTCCAGTGTTACCTCAGAGATCCACCAACTGCAATCAAGACTAGATAATCGTGAAGATTGAGAATAATAGTAGTAACAAAAATCCTTCATCACCATACTGCAAAATTGAAGCAAAAATACGCCAGACAACTAAAACCTCTTCGGTCTTCAAAGAATTTAATTTCCTCTTCTGAAACCTATTAGAATTCCCAGTCCAAATGAGTTACAGATTCAGAAGATTAATCTAGCTGATATTTTGATCCTAAGGGTTAATAATAATCAACTTTCAAGGCACAACAGGACCAAGATGCAGATGATTTGTCCAAATGTAATTAATACATCAAATTCACATGAAGCTTTCAGGTTGTCCCTGCCCCAGTAAAATACAAATCAACCATTACTGTTCTGTCCTTTGTTCTGTGACTGGTTTTCTCATTTTTCTCTCATTCCCATTTGGCCTTACAAAGCATTTGAGATTGACCTTAAAAATCTGTTAAGCTACCAGTGTCTTCTCAATAAAAAACAGGGCAAGATTTAAGACTCCGTAATACTTCACTTCAAAAGTAAAGGTGCAAATTCTGAAATGTCAGTATAGATCATATTTATCTGTTCCTAAAACAATCATATTTCTTCATCGTTAATCAAATTTCTATTTTCTATTTCCCTACTTTGCAGAAGGGAAGAAAAAAGAAAAAAGAACCATTCTTCTGGAAATCCATTTCCCCCCATTTTCTTTTCACAGAAAAGTATGATTTGCTTCTAAAGTGACACTGCTAAGGAGGTTTAATGAATGTTTAACTATCCAATTCTACAAATAATTATTATATATCTCCTAAATTAGGAAAAATAAACAAATTGCTTTTTCTTTTTAAAAGTGATGCCACAGCATAGTTGTTTTCCATTTAGCAGGGCTATTCTATTATTTACAGGAGAGAACAGGTACATGCTGCTTATAATCCATTTTTAGGCTTTTCTTACGTATAATTCTGGTTTTGAGAGACCAGGAATACATCCCAAAGAACACAAAGCTCTGACACATGGACAAGAGGTGGAATTTCCATTGTCGAAGATTGTAGTTCAAGATAATCCCTCTTCCACTTGCATGCACTTCTTCAACAAGTCAAATTTCTATGGAATTCCATGAAAGGAATCCTAGTTATGCCTTAAACCCAATCCAAATATAAAAGGTATAACCAAATTTCTCCTAGAAAATAACTGGTAACCAGAACACAATTCAAAGAGCAGCATTCATCAGAAACAGGGCCCAGTATTACCATTTCATTATACCTCATTTGCATTTTCTAAATGCAAATCAAAACCAGGGGAAATGCCAAAGATCCTTTCATGAATACAGTTGGATCATAGCTTCAGCAATGGACAGCTTCCAAGAAAATACTGTGGTATGACCACATACTACAGCAATCAGAACACTGGAAGATGTTAACAGGGGGCATGGAGGGGGAAGTACATAAACAATAAAAGATGACACTTTAATACTACCATAAAACCACGTTCCTGTTTAACTGAACAAAACCACAACATGGACATCATAAAGATAAAAGATCTCCAATTCCGTACCCCATGTATCTCCTGCTTTCGAAGCGTGCTCTGGCAACAACAGACTAGGAAAGAAGGCAAGCTCAAAAACGGAGCATACATAATGCCTTGATTTAAAAGTCATTTTAAATTAAGAAGATAGATTTTCACGTGTGCAACATGGAAGCCTGCAAAATACAGCACACGCCTAGTGACCTTTATCGTGTTCAGGTCAGGCTCATTTGTAGAACAGAACTTAACAAAACTGTCCAGTGTTACCTCAGAGATCCACCAACTGCAATCAAGACTAGATAATCGTGAAGATTGAGAATAATAGTAGTAACAAAAATCCTTCATCACCATACTGCAAAATTGAAGCAAAAATACGCCAGACAACTAAAACCTCTTCAGTCTTCAAAGAATTTAATTTCCTCTTCTGAAACCTATTAGAATTCCCAGTCCAAATGAGTTACAGATTCAGAAGATTAATCTAGCTGATATTTTGATCCTAAGGGTTAATAATAATCTACTTTCAAGGCACAACAGGACCAAGATGCAGATGATTTGTCCAAATGTAATTAATACATCAAATTCACATGAAGCTTTCAGGTTGTCCCTGCCCCAGTAAAATACAAATCAACCATTACTGTTCTGTCCTTTGTTCTGTGACTGGTTTTCTCATTTTTCTCTCATTCCCATTTGGCCTTACAAAGCATTTGAGATTGACCTTAAAAATCTGTTAAGCTACCAGTGTCTTCTCAATAAAAAACAGGGCAAGATTTAAGACTCCGTAATACTTCACTTCAAAAGTAAAGGTGCAAATTCTGAAATGTCAGTATAGATCATATTTATCTGTTCTGAAATACTATAGCTCTAACCGTATGTAACACCGTTAGTACGGTTGATTGTTGATTGTTTATTAGATTTGTCTTAATAAAGATTAGAAAATCTCTTTTAATCTGTGTTTGAACCTGGATGGGACTTTCACAAGGACTGGAAGGTACTACAGTGTTTCAATGTACACAGTATTTTCCCACAAATAATTCAAGGCAAGATGCACATAAAGTTCATTACTTTAGCAACTAACTTTTCTGCCTGTATTGCAGAATACCATCAAGTTCAATGTGCGGCCAAGTTCCTGTTGGAACAGCTAGAACAGCTTAATGCCTATCAGGACCAAGCGGGATCATTACACGAAATTGTCATCTACAAAATGTCCTTTTTCTTAACATCATAAGATTCCATGACTCTGTTTACCAGGAACAGACCCCATCTTAAGAAATCTGTTTTCAGTTGCCTCTGTTACTTTTATTTGGACAAGTTTATTACAAAAAAAAAAAAAAAATCCATCCCATGTTTTCCAGTAAAGATTACTTTTTAAATTTAATCCCTGCTATTCAAAATCCTGCTATAAATAGCTTGTGAGGTAGAATACAAGCCCACTTTTTTCCCTCGAAACATTTTTCAGTAAGAAGTAGAAAACAGAATTATCTTATTACAATCCTTTCCTTGAACTTCTTAACAACCCTCACAATTTCTGAAGATCTCATGCTAACAAAACTCATTCGTTGGCTACTAACTTCTAATGTAATTTTTATGTTATCAGATCTCTCTCTTCACTAAAATCTACAGTAAATTGAAAAAAAAAAGCTGCAAATCAAAGCAGACTGTACCTCAAATTTGAAGTTGAATGTCTGGGTTTTTTCATTACACAGCGTTTTTTTCACCCCAGCCATGCTATTAAAAAGCAGACAAATTAGAAA